AAAGTATATATTTTAAATTTGTAACTATATAAGCCTAAAAATTTAGACAACATAGATTTTATGAATATATATCAAAGCAAGAAATATAAGTAGGACCTTTAAATGTAACTTACTTAGTACCTTTTGTGTAAAGAGGAAGAAAAGTGTGTGAAAGAGTTAATATTTAAAAGGTAGATACTCTGAAACACCAATCCTTAGTTTCTCTCCCCTTTCAGAAGTTCTTACATTTGGTGCTATGTTATGTAGGTAAAAATGAGCCACTTATTATAATTACTAAGAATCTTCAGTGAAATAGTGAAAATAACCAGAATTGGTAGTAATAATAATTTTTTAATTTAACAGTTTTATTGTTTTAGAATTAAAACCTTGCTAATATTAAGGTGCACTGCAGTTATGCCATGCTGCCAGTTGTTACTAGGACAACAAATGCCCCCAGTCAGTGACCCAGAGGGCTGGGAAGACACATGAACTCATTCTTTCAGAGCACATAGAACTGTTATTTACAGTTTCCTTCTGGAAATCAGCCTGGAACATCTCAGTCTACTTAAGTATTGCCATAGCACTTGCTGTGATGCTCAGAATGCCTCAGAAATGTGTTCAATATCATGGTTTGTGGGTCCTCCAAAGATTCTCTTGTTAACATGCAAGCAAATAGTACTAAACAATATTATCTAAACTATGGCTGCCAAATACTGGATTTTAGTAATGAAACCAAATTATAAAACATTTCATTGTAGAGCTATACAAAAGATATAAAATTAAAATTAAAAATGTCAACCATCTTTAAATATTCCAATTCTGCTACCATGCAGTTTTCTACACCTTTATCACTACTGAATGTTTTAAGAGTAATGTTAACAAAAATAAAAATTGATAAAAATATTTAAATCTTTCGATACCTTTATTCCATGGCCTTCATAAAAACACAAGAGTGGCTGATTTTTTTCCATGATAGCTAAAATATCAAAAAGACTAGGGCCAGGAATTTAGCTCAGTGGTTCTGCCGCCTGCCTCACAAGCACAAGGTCCCAAGTTCAATCCCCAGAACCAAAAAACAAAAACAAAACAAAAATAACAAAGACTGATTAGTAATTTATAATTAGCAGTGAACTCTATTCTGAGTCATTTGTGGGTCACAGACCCAAGGAAAGTGTTAATGATGTGATACAGTTTATGGTTGCCAAAATAATTTTGAACACTGAATCCTTTTGAAACTAATGGACTGAATCATTATCAAAACAAAATTCCAGGTATATCAGGAAGAACAGGTTAATTGATACCTAGTTTCAATGTCATAAAAAGGGGGGAGGGTTACTTATTTGAAAATACTGAAAAGTACATTCTTATCTATGATTATTTACATTTGTATACTGAAAATATCTATTATTTGAACAAATCCTGTGATACATCATTTGCTACAAAATGAAGTTCTTAGACTGAGCATGAATAATTTACCCTTTTGGAAGAATGTATCAAATCTTCATTTATGTTCAAAACATTAAAAACAGAAATTAAAAAATCTTAAGCCTAGAAAGCTAAGGAAAAAAAGAGACCCACTCATAACTTTGCTCTTCAGCACATCAACTTCTGCAAAGACACAGTATGTTTGCTGACTTTAAAATGTTTATTCTTTAAAAAATTAGCTGCTTTTTATACAGCTATACAAAGTTCTTAATGTTTCTTTGGCAATGGAATATAATGGAATTTTACACCTATATAAAAAAGTTTCCTTTGCCTAAGAAACAGTATTTACCATGTGTACATAGTTGACTGACAAAATTCTCTACCATCCAGCACCCTAATTAATTGACAAAATAAGCTACTTCAAAATCTACAAACTCTCTTCCTCCACAGCCTCCTCTGAATCCACCACGAAATCCCCGAGGCGTAGTGAAGGTACCACCTCTGCCACCACCATGTCCTCTCCCACCATGGAAACCAAGACCTCCTCTGCCTCCTCTGTACCCTCCATGGCCACAGTTTGGATGAAGTGGATTTCCAAAACTTTCATCATTTAATCGCCTTTCTTCAGCCCAGGTTGGTCTCCGTTCTCTGTTATCATCACAAGAAACATTATCAAAGAAGGATTTAGTTTTTTCATAATAGCAATTAGGTCCAAGTGGTTCTTCTTCAGCATTTCCTCCACTGTTTTGGGTATCAACTCCCGAGTCTCCCTTATCTTCACCATTTACAGGTTTCTCAAGTTTATCTTCTTTAAATTTAAGCTTATTGTGAAATTCTCTGTCAATCTCCTCTTTGTTAAATTGTGCATTTGTACTTTCGAAGTCAAAGTCTTTCTCAAATCTCATTGGACCATCTCACCAAATACCAAACCTTCCCCGGCCACCTCGAT